CTGCACGAGTCGGAGAGCAGGGGGGGGAGGCCCTAAACCCTAAACCCTAAACCCAAACCCAACCCTAAACCCTAAACTCCGGAGGGAGATGTTTTCGACCCAGGGTCTCCCTGGTTTTCGACACGAGGCCATGGCGTTTTCGACTCGGCGGGCTCGACTCGAAAGCAGATTTGCTGACTTGACAATCACTCAGGAGTGGCTAGTTTGCCCTAGTTCCAAGGACTCAGGTGCTTCATCCCCTCCTAACCGGTCCACCCTTCGTGCAACTACCATACTATACCTACATCAGCATAGCGACCGCTGAAATGCGTCCGTTCCCCTTGAGATCATTGCTACACGCCTGCATCCAAGCAGCGGTCTACCGAGGCGATCTCCGCCAAGGTGCACGCTTGGAGGTTCACCGGCACGGCATCCTCTCATGTAGTTCAGGCTGACGAGAAACCGCTGTGGTTCACCCCCGCTCCCGCGAAGCCCGAATCGGAAATCTTCTGCACTGCTCCCGCCTCTGGGTCATGGGTCTGGCCGGGCAGCCAGACGCGGGGCCGGGGGCCGGGGATGCCGGCATGGACAACCAGGACTTGGTTGTTCACCTTGGAATCACGGCCGCTTGGCCGCAAGTCGACCAAAGTCTAGACGCCCTCAGGAGGTGCTGGTCTTACCGCAAGCATGTACATAGTCCTCCGCATCTTGCTACTATCACCCCAACATCTTCACCAACACCATTACCACCAGACGCATCGTCATGAGCACCGAAACTCGGACCTCAAACGGTGTTCAAAGATAGTAGCGGCCGAGCCACAAGGTGAAGCAGGGGAAGGTTTCGGAAGGACTCGGAGTAGAGGTTGAAGAGGTCCAGATCGTACTTGCTACCCACCTTCCAGAAGCTGGCTACACGACACGTCAGCCTTCTTCGCCCTGGAACTCTCTCCATGTCCGAGGCATGTTTTCACAAAGGACGAGTCGGACGAGCCCAACTCGCTGTAAATCTCAAGTCGCTTCTCCCCAATCACCACGGCACCATACTTCACAGATGGGCAATATGAGCATAGTCCGCTGCCGAACCTCACCGGCGAAGCCGTAGATCATGTTGGCCTAGCCCATCAGAACTTGCACTCATGGCGCATGTACCGAGGCAGGCGACAACGATCACAAGAAAGATGTAAGGAGTGGAGGCACGTATGCCCTCAAACACACAACGAGAGAGGGAGACACGAAGACCTGTGCTTGTCACAGGTGCCTCACACCACTTCGGATACTAGCGCAATTGCACAACCACAAAGAATGGCCTAACTCTGAACAGCAAAGACAGCTGCCGGAATCTGTTCCATGTCGTGCGTGCTGCTACTTTGCAGAACGGAACGAGAGCACCCAGCAATTACGAACAATTCCTGTCACAGCATTCGAAGCAAGAACAAGATGTGTTTTGCATGCAAACTACTTGGCAAAGCTGTTTGCTGGTTCAGGTGCCTATCTAGCTTGTCGACATTTGCTTTCAGTGAGTGCGTGAGGAATCCCTCCGAGTTCAGCAGCTTCATGCTTCGCCTGAGTCATCGACGACGATTTGAACTGACATTCAAAGAAACATAATGAACTCCATGGAAGGTTGCATTCTCGCCAGCAGACAACTGTCAGAATGCCTCCAACATCTCGTGGTTTCCGCGATTCATGAAGATGGCATTCCTGGCGAAGACACATGTTGAGGTCCCAAGTCCGGTCTCCTCTAACAAGCCGGCTCTGAATAGTGGCTAGATCATATAAACTCCGGTAAACACAATGAGCTGATTCTCTCTGGAGCAGCGCAGGCTGAGCCAAGAGGCGGGTTCTGCATCTTCATGGCAAAGATCATGGTGATGACCTCCACAGACCAGGAGCCTCCGGATACTCGGGGAAAGGCTTGTCCCAGCCCCCAAAAAGAAGCATGGTTTCAGCTAGTAACTAGTACAACAACACACAAAAAGCGGACCTACCTGAAGATCTTAAGCTTCTAATGCTAAATGTCCCACCGTGATTGAAACTTGAGGGCTGCTCACCAATGTCGTAACCTCCGATGCACCGGCCTCGGTCAACGAAGTCCCCATTGAAGAGGAAGGGCCTGAGCATTTCAGTCTAAAGGTTTCGCATAATGCCTTCGTGCTTGACTAGCAACACTTGTAGGACATGTTGGGGGCCTATGCCTGCCGTCGTAATTTGCAAGGCTCTTGTCTTTCGTCCAAGAAAAAGAATCTGACAGAATACCTTCCCGAGTCCGGGCTTCTCGGTTCCTTCTGTGAAGGATGGCGACGTGTTCCGGGTATGCTTCTGCATCGTCTCAATGAGGCCTCACTACGCAACAGTGCATGTCAATCAGTCATCGAGCGCCATTAACCCGTCTGCAGCTTCAAGACGAGTATCAATGCGTAGTGTTCCAGGAGAAAGCAGGGACCGCGAATCGTATTATTGGAAATGACACACAAGCAGCACCAGGCTCCCGAACGTATTGACCGAAGGCATGCCGGTCATGCCTAAAGCTGCGGAACTTGATGCAATCAGAAGCGCAAGAGACTGCCTGCAGAAGAATTGCAAGCTGATGCACACGGCACATGGTTAGTTAGGTGCAAAATACTGTACGGATGAAACAGATTTTTGGTTAAATGGGAGAAGGCCCAACAGCTTGCACTGACCATTCCGCCCCGACTGGCCAACCACCTGTCTAGCATAGCACAGATGACGAAGCAAGGCAGTCCAACCTCGACGGCAAGGTATACAACTACACATATGCATACACATATACATTATACATATACGTAAGGATACAGTGATGCCTGCACGCACAGCACTTCACATACACATACATACACACGGCTCACAGACTCAGACATACACACATACATACATACA